CACACCTGCAGACGGCGTCCACTCCTTGTAGTGCCGTGTGCACACCTGCAGACGGCGTCCACTCCTTGTAGTGCCGTGTGCACACCTGCAGACGGTGTCCACTCCTTGTAGTGCTGTGTGCACACCTGCAGACAGTGTCCACTCCTTGTAGTGCTGTGTGCACACCTGCAGATGGCATCCAGTCCTTGTCTGCTCCCAGCTAAGGCCCATCAGGCCTTGCTGCAGCCAGCCCTGGTCTAGGGGCTGGACGTCCCTGTGAGACACAAGGCCCTAGCCTAAAAACTGCTGTTTATGGCAAAAAGAAGAGGGTGTGGGCCGGTAGCTTGTCAGGCACTGGGGGATGTGCAAGAGGAAGCACCCAACTAACCTGGGACTGGAAGCTTCTAGAAAGGGGCACTGGAAGGGTATGAGGAGGAGCAGCTGAGTAGCATTCCAGAAGTGCACACTGTGACTTGCCACACAGCACCAGGTGTGACTGCACAGACTGAGTACTGGAGAGAATGACCGCATGTGGGCAGAGCCCTGGGGAGCAGGAGCCCTGTGTCTGCAGCACTGAAGGGGTCTGCACCTGCAGTACTCAGGGCACAGCCAAGTGAGAAGTGCCCAGCAGGTGGAGAGGAGCTACTTAGGACCCATAGCCAGAGATAGGCCCAGATGAGAGTGGTTAAGGGAGATGGCCACACCCCCGTGGGAGGAGGGCAGGTGCATGCGCTGTGGTGGGTGGGTGGGTGTGTGTGTAAACGCCGGAGAGTCCAGTGATCTGGCCAATGTGTCTGAGCCGTCACCGCCTCCTCTGGCCACCCACTGCCCATGGAAGCACCTACTTCGGGTACCAACTCCCGTCGTCCACTGCACTCAGGTCTATCCCACAATGGGCTTTCTTCTCCCAACTGAGAAGGCATCCACAGTCCATGTGCTCTTCATTCAGCTGTGAGAGAGCCTTCACCTGGGGGTTCCTGTGCTTCCTATGGGAGATAGACTAGAGGCCAGGAATGAGGAGAGCACCAGTAAGGGTGGGGAGATGGAGGTGCAGGGGGCTGCGGTCAGGGTGTAGAGACCCAGGTTAGGGGTATCGGGCAACTGAATGAAGAGTGCGTGGACTTCTTCCTTCTTAGGAGAAAGTCTGTTGTGGGACAGACCTGAGGAGACAGGTGATGGTGGGCGCTGCACCACCTCGGGACAGTGGGTCAGGGTCTGGGCATGTGCACACCATAATTCGATGCCCAGGGTGTGGGGTAGACTCTCCAGCCAGGACAGAGGATTTGAGATGAGGCTTTAGAGCCAGCAAGAACCAGACTCCATCTCTGAGACGTGGACAAGACTGAGAAGGGCAGGGACCAGCCCACAATCCGAGCTAGGGTGAGGCCACAGGGGATGCTCCATGGAGAACAAGCCAGGGAGGAGCTCAGGGATGGGTGGTAGCACTCAGGTTGGATCCCAGAGGAATGAGGGAGGCACCAGGGGTCTGACCAGGGAGGAGCCATGTGGCAAAGGATATGCAGGAGGATTCAGCCTGCAGCGCTCAGGCCTTCCCCTCTGGACTCAGTCCCCAGACCGGAGGTTGGCGTCCTGGGAGGGGCTGAGGTCAGGAGCAGGAAGCAGGGGTGCTGCGCCACCCTGTGGCTAATGGGGCCCCTCCCAGACACACACCAGAAGGTCTTTGCTCCCCTCCCCCAACCTCTGATGTTCTACCAATTTGTGGGACCTCTTTTAAAGGGGAATGGGGTTGTTTGTGACAGAGGACAGGGAGTGTGTGGACTTCTTCCTTCTTAGGAGAAAGTGCATCCTATGACTAGAAGTGCACACCTGTGGGGAGCATTGCCCTTTGAGCGTATAGGCCCCATGGTACGTGTCATGTGACTCACACACACTTGGTAATGTGCCAGCTTGTGGGACTGACGCAGGTGGGGGCTGTGCCCCCTCAGGATCTCAGAGAGGGCATAAGTCAGGACCCGGCAGCACAGAAGTGTAGGGCTGCAGCTGAGCGCATTTACAGAGCTGTTCCTCGGCCCAGGACAGGAAAACGGCAGGCAGGCCATACGAGCAGCCCCTTTCAGATGTCGTCTGCATTTTTATGGACATGCTAGTTATGCTTAATATGTTTTGTTAATGGTTATATAGCTGTCAAATAAATCCCATTATTTCTTATTACATCATTAGAGACCATTAAAACGGCATTAGCATGCTGATGTAATTATGCCAGCAGACATTCACGGCGACAGCTATGATTTTATAACCAATCACGCTGTCCGAGGTGGTGGTGATTGACGACAGGGCTGCTATGTGCAGCCTCCCGGTCAGGTGCACAGCAGTCCTGGGATGAAGAGCACCAAAGAAGACATTTCTGAGAGCCCAGGAGCCCCAGTGAGATGGGCCTGGAGTTGAGTCTTCCAGACAGCTCCAAGTCACCCACGTGGAGAACCAGGCCAGCCATGGACACGGGGGAAGTTGGCCTAATTCCACCATCAATCTTCATGTGCTCCATGACATGAGAAGCCATTTACTTTCTCATCTGTGTGATTTGCCGGCTTGATGAATTCAATCTTCTTATTCTTGGAGACAGTTGTGGAGACATAGCAGTGGGAGTCCCTAGCCCTGGCACTTGTCATTAGGACCTCCTCTGCACACAGGCCGGTCCTCTGCACAGCCCACTGCTCCCCAGGCCTCCTGCATGCTCAGGCCCCTACAGGGTTCCAGAAAGTACATTTCAGTTTCCTGGGGCAGAATCAGGACTATCTGTTCCTTGTCCAGTCTCTCTGCATGAAGGAATTTATGAAGACATAACCTAGGGACAGATAATGCGTGAAGGGCAAGAACTTCCCTTAACTCTCTGGGTTGACTTCTCTGGTTTTTGCTGTAGCCGAAATGACTGCAGAGCCCCGGACACTTTGGTTTACGCATCAGGCAGCACAAGGTAAGGATAGCAGAGATGATGTTTAGGGGACATAATGTCACTCACAGCCGAGAACCCCATCAGTAAACCTGGAAGCCCAGGGGGGCCTTGGTAAGTGGTGCATGTGTCTCCACCAGGGATCTGCTGCCTGCAGACTCTGGTGCTTGCCTGGGGTGTTGCCACCTATTCCACCTGTGCTGAGGAGGGAGGTGGGGGCTGGTGTCGTGGAGCCCCTCCTCCCTGAGTGAGAGAGCAGGCTCTGGACTCCGTGCCTTGTTGGAATATTGCTGACGACTGCTGAAGGGGGAGCCAACAGCTCCAGGCAGCTGCACGTGGCTTTCCTTAGAACAAGGAGAATAGAGGAAATGTTATAATACATCAAAGTCATCCTGGGTATGAACTAAGGCAGCAAGGAAGAGCTGCTGTGTGTTCTCAGATCTGTTTGCACTAAAGGCTATTTGTCATTCTAAGTATTATTATTATTTTAGTACGTATTGATTGAAACTCTTTTCCTAGTGTGAAGGATGTCACAATGTAGAGGAGAGCAAGTTACTTACCTCCTGAGCCTCAGTTTCCCCACCAGCCCCAGGAGGAGCAAGGGACACAGACCCCTTCTCAGAGGCCTCACACCCAGCTCACTCTGCTATTGTTGTCTTGAATTTTTTTGAATTCTTCAGCAAAGGGCCCCTGGATGTTGGGGCTGGTCTTAGGCTCAGGACAGGGTTTGGAGTCTACCTGATGGGCCACAGCAAGAAACTCAGCTTGGCACCTGGTGTACAGGGTCACAGTTCCTGCCGACTAGTGCTGCACTCTTTTGTTACTTGCACTGTTTTTAGGAAAACACGACTCTAGTTCCTACTGTTAGTGGGTTCAGATTGGCAAGAATAACCTACCCAATTCTGTTCCTAGACTTTTAAATGGACTCCAAATACGAAGCATTGAGTACACACTGGCATGGTGTGTGAGGCTGGATAACCCAGGACATAGGAGTTCCTCACAACTCTGAATTCTCCTTTTATGGCACATCTATGCAGGCTGTACCTTTAGGTTTCATGGTAAACTGTATGTTCCTTGAAGCCAGGGTCTTCGTCCAGATTACTCAGTAACATGTCTTCTGTGCCCGGAGTAGCATCTGACCTGTAACAGGCTCAGTGTTTGTTGAATGGGTGAATGAGTTCATGAATGAGTGAGTGAGTGAGTG